ATCGATAACAAACTACACGTCATTGAAAGATATCCAAACAAAACATTTAAACAATTGAATTTCTGAAAGTGATTAATGAACTCAAATGAGGTCGTTGAATACACCAAAATCAAATTCTCGGATAATTAATTCACTGAAAGTGATAAATTGACAATATTTACAATGTGCATCATTGTATCTACATTAACAAATCAATGTGAAAAATGGATGGAGCAAATTCTTATGACAGTACTAGTGTACAGTGTGCATTATCAATAAATGTAATAAAAAATGCGATATATTAATTAAAGATGGCAATGTCTGATAGGCATTAATAAATAAATAGAAGTTTGTGTGTGTGTGTGTGGGGGGGGGGGGGGGTGGGGGTGGGGTTACGTTTTTAGTTTCTCATCTGACAGTTTTTTACCATTTCAATATTTCCAATACATTTAAATGAGTCACTACCTACCCCATTAAAATACTTATATAGAATAGAACATAACACAGATCATAATTATGATTGAACAGTAAGAAGAGCAATGAATGTGTTTCAAAAGTCCACAACAAAGTTTAACAAAACTCCAGAGGAAACTTCGCGATTTCAAGATATGAGGTATTTAGTTTTCGCGTTTTCGGTTCAAGGTCAAAACTAAAGAACCAATGGCTATATAGACACCCCTGGGATCACTTAATTTCTTTATTTAGGAGGTAGAGGTATGTATCACTTCCTGTAGCTATCCAACAAAATTGAGTAGGGTGTAGAACGTGTGCTTATGCTTTATTGTTAACAGAGCATTAAAGGACCTTATACACCCTCCATTGGGATCTCCCCATGGGAAAAAATAATTCATCTGATTTTTCAAAATGAGTATTCTGCTTCAATTATTACATTTATATGCACACTAGTATCTTGTTGACCTATATTCAGCACTGTATTGATGTATAGGTCAATTATTAGGGTCATAATTCAATCATGAAGTGTAGAGGCATAGATTCCAAACCAGGAAGTATTGTTGTGTCTGTCAAAATCCATTTACATCCTACGCATCCCTGCATCTTATCCAAATATGTTACTACATAATGAAATATAATAGTATAATCTTTGGTTTTACAAACTTGTATGATATTTGATAAGTGTAAAGTTGTTTTTGGAGAATTTTTCTATATCCATTTTGTAGGGAAAAATGATGAAAAATGTACAATCTTTTAATTTTAAGTATGACCTGAATCGATTGCAAACTTCATATTTGCACATTTGATGAGATAAACCATTTGTGTCGTATTGTGAAATTATTAAGTTTGCAATCGATTCAGGTCATAGTGTATTTTTGGTATTTCTGTGATAATCAATGGAAACCAATGGCCTCTATTGGGATCTGCTGATATCCTCATGTTAAGTCAATGGTGCACAGCCCCATTTAAGTCAATACAACCTTACTGAACGAAATGATCCCTATCTCAGCTTATGTGTGTCCGAGCACTTCAATATTTTCCAAAGTATTATATGACATTTTATTCTTCATGTTACACCTACGAATGATTCATTTTGACCATAGGGATATTTGCCAATAATTGCACCTTGTCCTTTACAAGTTGTGTTTTACATGTAGGGCCAGCATCATCGAGAAACACGAGAGATGACAGAGCATCCCGAAGTAAAGGGCGAGCTGTGGAAGTTAGTTCCAGTGAAATCTTGCTATTGGAAGCGACCTCATCACACAAGCGGTCATCACAACCTCAGTTACAACCGCGACGACAGTGATGGAAGCACATGTTCCGATGACGTCACTTCAAAAAGCTATGACATCAATGCAGAACGAGCTGACATCGACAAGCGAAAATTAGACAAAAATGGAATCAATGTTGTAATTGAACCAGAGAGCTTACCACCATATGCCTACCATCGAAACAATTCGAATTCAAAACGAGAGAATGAGAGGAAGCATATAAAACGAGTCAAAAAATGCTACTACATCTTGATTGTAAACACGTTGCTAATCTTGGCGATTCTCGCACTATTAGTTGTGGCCATTGCTAAAGGAGGTAAGAACTTATCAACTACCATTACCAGGCGTCCAAGACTTCCAACAACAACGCGAACATCAGTTCAAAGCTCGCAAACTACGTTCCTTGCGCTCGAACCACGATTCTCACGTCTTTTGTCGCGCACCACCCTGACCATTTCCTTGCTCCTAAGCATATTTCTCAACTCGCAAACAGAGATCCGTGCTCGCGAACAATTTGTACATAGTGCATCCGGGTATTTGGGATTCCAATTGCAAGCAACAACAAGAGTATGTTTGCAGTTTACATTGGCACCTATACATGTACACATATACTATTTCAATAGTCATAAACTCTCCGCAGCCAATGAAAAGCCATGTTGTTTTGTTATTAGACTCCAGATTGAAAATCTGGAGTCTATTGTTTTTGCCTGTTTTCTTATTATTCATTCTTTCTTCCTCCTAACAGATTTTCTCTCCAACTATAACATCTTACTTAATCCAACCTACATGGTTAACTAGGGAATGTATCTGGCTTTCTAGGAAATTAGGTCAAATTTTTATCTAGGTCATAGTTCAAGAACTAGGTCAAATCTTGGATTTTCACTAATTCACCACTTTTCTCAGTCGTCTTTCAATATTTTCGCTCCGGGTTTTTTTCATCACGTTCCTTGGAAAAAACGCTAATTCCGCAAGGCAAATCGTTTTTTGATTTCTCTTACCGATTTTGAGATATTGCGTCCGAAAAGTAGGTCAGAACAAAAAACTCTCCAAATTCAACATGTGAGTTATGAAATAACTGTAGAATGATCTCAGGAATCCGAATCTGCAAACCAAATTTGGATCGGACTTTCGGTTCGGAAGTTATGGCATTTTGAAAGCTCAAAAATCGCTAAAGTTGGTGCCTATGTTAAGTCAATGGGAAAAAAAACTTTTTCGAAGTGTAAAATACAAGATATAGACTGAGTACAGCTTAACCACTGGCATGTAGCGGCCCTGATATCGATAAATTCTACACGCAATATAACCCGATTTTAGATGCTTGGTTAAAACTTTACACGAAAAAGCCTCGATATCCGGGCATTTACTCTTACACTGAACTGAAAATAGCATCGTCTAAACGTGTATGTCTTGGCTTCCGGGTAAGTTTATCAACATTTATACTCAATTGAAAGAGCAGTCGTGCTTATATCGTGTACCAGTTTGATTGTTTTATATGTGTGTGTATTTATAATATGATAGTCTAGTAATACCGTGTCGTTAGAACAAGTGCTAGATATCGAACTGATGACCTGATATTAGATTATTGGACTGATCGCGCATCTGATATTAGATGATTAATTTGCATTGAATCTGATATTAACTTGCAACCCAATACTACAGTAAATACCATGACTTTACATTAGAATGATAACACGGCCTCATATTCTAATTCATTATACGTCCATTGCAGGCCAAAAATGTTTCAATGGGGATATTGTAATGCACACGAGAATACATTCGATTCGTATATATTGACACCCCAGTTGTCCGAAACCCAGTTGTCCGAAACCCAGTTGTCCGAAACCCAATTCCCCGAAACCCAGTTGTCCGAAACCCATTACTCCGAAAAATAAAGTCATAATTTACCAGAGAAAGGGGGGGGGGGGCGTAGCTTACTTAAGCTTACGTCAGTTTCATGCCATGTATTTGGCCAAACTAATGGCATGGACGCATTCTGATATTCATAGATCTCTCTCTCTCACTTTGAATTGCATCCATTGTATGGCGTTACCAGAATGGCAGGAACGGGAGATTTATTTTACATTGTGATTCTAAAAAAGGTTATTAAAACACAATATATATTACGGAACAGTTTATCTTATCTTCTTCAATCTCTTTTATATAGGCAAAATAAAATGAAACATTTTGAAACAGATAAAATAAGGTATCGCATAGAACTTTAAGAATAAAACAGTATACAAATTACGTTGTCAAAATATTTCGTCGCATTTAATTTCTTAGTCTCAGTCTCTTATCAAATCGTAAAAGAATAAAACATTCTAAACTTAATCACTTGGGATTTATGTTTCGGCATTCGTTTCAGGCATTTGTTTTTTATGTTCTTCTCCTGAAATGTATTTGTTTGACAATAATCAGAGAAAGTGCGTATACGTATAAATATGCCACGCAAACAAACGGGTGTGACTTCAATTTCTTGTCTGTCTGAGGACGTATTGGGAACGAGGTAGAATTAAAGAATTCTTATGAACAAATGTATTGGCTAAGTTAATTTCTGATGGATCTGGATAAAATATATTTCAAAACTTTGTCAACACTAGATAACTTCATTTAGGCAGATATAGTATCTTGATATATTTGGCTATCATGCGTTTAAAATACGTTCCTAAAACTATGAAGACGTTGGGTGAGAAATATTGCTATTGTACGTTCGAAAAGTATTTGGTTGTATTTTGTAGTTCTCAAGTTACCCATGAACTTTCGTGGGCTAATTAACGTCTTGACTTAGCATATTTAGCCTAATTTTGCAATGATGTCAACGTGATTCAAATGTTATGCTGTCGTGATTCGCAGAGGTTGCGACAAGATTCGTTTTAAGAAATTGTATTTTTTGATAAGATCCCCTAATTTTCGGAGAACTTGGTTTCAGACAACTGGGTTTCGGAGAATTGAGTTTCGGACAACTGGGTTTCGGACAACTGGATTGACCCCTATGAGGGTTGATCATACATCAATTGAACATGGAGATTTTCCTGTACACTTTTCCCAAACATGTGGAATAGACTAGATGCGAGTAGAAATTATCTTGATTTATCCTATGCCAAGTAGGGTTTTAGGGAGATAAGTTGGTAAGATATATCCCGTATCCTGATTTTGAGGTTTCCATATCAAGAACCTCCACATCTCCCGTCATATCTCCCGCTTCGGTGCATATCTTCCCGCTTCGGGGCGTATCTTCCCGCTTCCAAAAAGTGGAAATGCAATAAAATGACTTTGCATATGAATGATTTGTTTATTTTTTACACCTTGTACTACTGAAAACTCTACTTGGTATAGGATAAAGCAGTTATGTACGGTCGGTTTGGATATTGGGTTCATCCCTCGTGAGATATGCACATCTACTTTCTGTCCCTACGGTCCCTCAGGTAGATATGCATATCTCCCTCTGGAAAAACCCCGTATCCAAAACCTCCCAGTACATAACCCTTATTTATCCATTGGTTACAAGGATATAGATCGAATATCACGTGAAGATATAATTGATACGTGGATGAAGATATATTTTAGCAAACAATTCCCAAATCATCGAATATCACTTTTGAAACCATCGAATATCACTTTTTGAAAGGTGATATTCGATGGTTTCAAATTGATATTCGATGGTTTCAAAAGTGATATTCGATGGTTTTGATTTTTTCAATTTTTTTATTAATTCAGCAAAACGATTGTTTATGAATACCTAGCAAGAGCTCAAAAAGTTCAATCATCTATTTATCTCAAAAAGACCTCAAAAATTGAGCTTGAATTAGAAATATGTCTTCTAAAATCTTCCTCGCCTGGACCTGATGGGATTCTACCATCACTTATTAAGTCTGTAAGACAGTTTTTAATTGATCCGCTCTTGTATATATTTAACTTATCTTTTAAATCTGGTATTTTCCCAGACGCCCTCAAATTGGCCAAAGTAACACCTGTATTTAAAAAAGGAGTCACTACAAATCCTTCGAACTATAGACCAATTTCAGTTTTATCGGTATTTTCTAAATTGTTAGAAAAGCTCATGCACGCCAAACTCACTGGTTTTTTAGAACGTTTTGAAATTATTTTTACTGATCAATTTGGATTTCAGAAATTCAACTCTACCTACATGGCCATTTTATATTTCATTGAACAAATTCGAAAATCAACTGATTTGGGGAAAACGAGCATTGGCATAACATTAGATTTTTCCAAGGCCTTTGACACTATTAATCATGACATTTTGATACAAAAACTTGAATATTATGGCATCAGAGGAATAGCTAAGTCCTGGTTTGAAAGTTATTTAAAAGACCGCAAACAATATGTCACCATTAACAATTATGAATCTAAACAATCATCTCTAAATTGTGGTGTTCCGCAGGGCTCGGTGCTTGGACCACTATTATTTATTCTTTACATAAATGATCTGCCTTTTGTTGACCCTAATCTAAAATTTATTATGTTTGCTGATGACACCAATCTTCTTGATAGTGATTATGATTTAAATGAACTAATGCAAACTTGAATTCAATAGATGACTGGATAAAAGCAAACAAACTTTCACTTAATATTGGCAAAACCAATGCTATTCTATTTGGACCCCAAAAAAATCAAACAAATCTGAATCTCAAAATACGCAATGAGAACATAAATTTCCGGGATAAAATTGACTTTCTTGGAATTATTATTGATAAAAACTTGAAATTTAAAGAGCACATAAAATCTATTGAAACAAAGATTTCTCGCGTCATTGGTTCTCTTTATCACATTAAACATCTACTTCAAATAGACAGTTTCAAAACAATTTACTACTCATTGATACACTCTCAATTAAATTATTGCAACATAATCTGGGGTAACACATTTAAATCATTTTATGATCGTCTACATAAACTGCAGAAACAATTCTTAAGGCTAGCTTTAAATAAGGATAGACTTTCTCACTCCGCTCCCTTATTTGTGAAGATCTTAACATATTAAATATTTTTGATGTCAACAGATATTGTACTGGTCAGTTCATGTACAAAATCTTTAATGAGCACCCCAGTCTTCCAAAAAATCTATTTCAAGACTTGTTTGATATCAACATTAATATTCATCATCATTACACAAGACAATTGCATTATTTTCATATCCCTAAATGCTCTAAACTTTCCCTTCGCTATCTAGGTCCTAATCTTTGGAATGCTCTACCACATGATATTAAAAAATGCTCCACTCTA